CAATCGCTGCTACAATCAGCTTCCGACAACTTCCAGCTGGGTGATTGATCTATCCATTAAAACACACACAGGAAACTCCACCCCACTTATTCTGCATATGCCCACACAGAACCAACGTAAGGATCACCACGAAATCTAGGAGTCGCCACGCTCAATGCGTGCTCAACAGGCCCTGCCATGTGGCGTCAAACCTCTCACGCCTGCCGGTCTCTGCTCTCCTTGATCAAGCGCATCACAAGACTATTCCCCATCAGTCTGCCTGCCTTGTGCCCTGGATAAAGCTAGGGATTTATTCAAATCTACATAAGTCCAAGAGAAAAGATTTGCTGCTACGTGCGCCGCTGGTGCTGAGTCTTCTTTACTTAACCGTTCCACTGGCTCCCCTACAGCCACACCTCTGAATGCTGACCATGGCCTGTCGGAACCCCGGTGCCACCGTGAAGGCAAGCCCGACTGCGCGCCCGGTAAACTCCAGCTTGAGCTCCCTGCTGAGAGATCCGCACGCATACCAGAACCTTCAGACAAAGATTGTATGGCTGCTTGTCCGGTTGATGGGCCGTTGAAACCCCATATGTCGGAAGCGCGAGAAACGTCAAACGGGCTTTCGCCGGAAGAATACTGCTGAGCGCTAGATTGCATCTGCGGAAAACTGCCGCTCGGCCCGCTTGGAAACATGGGCTGCAGGACAGGAGGCCCGGGTGCATGGTTACCCGGACGGCCCTGATTTGCTGGGTCAGCTGGCCGAATATCATCTATTGGCTCATTGTCCGCTTCTGATGCATCTCCTAGCCCAGCGTGAGGAACGTTCGGTGGTTGCGCGTGTGCCGCTGGCCACGTTGGAGCTTTTTGCACGCCCTTAAGTGCCCAATTAGCAGTTGAGGACTCTGGACGCTCTGTGGCTGCAGGGGCGGGAGCTGTGTGATGGGTTTTCCGATGGCTAGACGCCTGAGGTGGTGTGGATTCAGACTGCCACGAATGCTCATCATTCCGTGGCGACTCTGAGTTCCCAAAACCTGCAGCCACGTCAGCGGACTGCGATGTCATGGAGGGACCCGAAAAAGGCAAGTGCCTACACCTGCCAACGGAACTCCATGGTACAGGCATTCCCACTATGGGCGGGGATTGAGGAGGCTTGATGGCCGTTGAAGGCTGATGGGAACTCGGTACCAGCGGGGAGTCGGGGACTATCGAAACTCCAGATGGAACATGCGGCCCAGGCACAGGAGGCAATGTAGAGCTCGAAGACCCAACACCAGTTCCAGTGGCAGCAGGGGCGTTAGCAGACCCAGCCAACCCCAAGCTTCCAGAGGATGCTGGAATCGCGGAGGCGCCTGAGCTTTCTAACAACTGTTTCCCACACCTACCACCCTCTGCAAGCTGACCGGGCTCCGCCGGTGCTTCAGAAGATTCCCAGCCCTTTGGCGGGTTTGGGGTCGTCTCCACTGGTCCAGCATGGACTACTGCTGGGAGAGGAGCCCCGAGCCCCTGCGCGTCAGCACGGACATCAACATGAACCCTAGCTCCCCGGCTGCTCTGCTGTTGCAGCAAGCCCAAACGGGTACAGAGGAGCTCTTTTAGCAGTTCGTCGTGGGGCTTTCCGGGACTGCCGACAAGTTCTTTAATAATTCTGGGACTAACCAGCCCATAGTGCGAGCTCTCGGGGTGTTGTGTGCGCAGCCACCTGCCGAGCAAGCTGTCAGCAAGCACATGGTCCCTCCGTTTTGTGGCTGTCTGGTGCATCGCATCCACATACATCGTTGCAACGTCTTCCTGAATTGATTCTCCCTCCTGTTGGCAACAGCTAACCAACGACTGCATACCCAAATTCAACTGTGCCAGTGCTACCTCTTGCAACGAAATCAGCTGAGCAAGTTTTGTCAGACGGTCGGCGGGAGACATGCGTGTCCCCTCAAAGTCCATTTTCGGCAACTGCCGCAGCATTTGACGCACGCGCTTGAAGTGACGCAGGCTAGCGCGGCCCAAACCCCTAGAGATTATATCTGAGGTGAATAGAGCTACCGCCAGTCCAGCGACGTCTGCTGCAGACTCCACATGGTGCCGCTGGCTCGGCTCCAGCAACGAACATTGTGCAGCCAGCTCCAACACGCCCAAACGCAACATGTTCGAGAAGGCCTTCACACAATAATGCCCAGGAACCTGAAGAAGCACACTCCTGCTCTCTTGCAAAGCTTCACCCACACCAACTGTGTAAAGTTTCGCGCGCTCAAGCACTTGTTTTCCATCAAGATGTTCGCCTCCTACTGCAGGAAGTGTAGACTCTCCCACCCCCCAAGGAACACAGGGACCCTCTGGGTCTTTCCCCTCCTCTTTAACAACGGAAAGGGACCGCGGGATGCTTTTAGGCTCACTACGCTTTGTTGAGGCCCAGAACTGCAAGGAGCAACGCAGCAGTAAGTATGCCGTGACAACGGCAGCCAGGGCTGCACAACTCCTAGGATGCAAGTGGAAGCGGGGATGGCCACGGCGTCCCTTTACCCTGAAGAGGGAGGAAGAGCCATGAGGGCGAGGATTGTATGGTTTTGGCATCTCACTACTCCACACGGAACGTTCCTCAGTGAAGTGCAACGCCACGGCATCAGCCACTGTGCTGCTCGGCTGGGCGTGTATCGGCGGAGCGCACGCTACACCCTGTCCGGAGTTCTGCATTAGTGACCTTTGGCAGTGCACAGTAGACAAAACGCATACAACTTAAGACCCAGCGACTCTCGGGAGATGGAGGAAAGGGCTCGCGCGTAGCACAAACCAATTAGAGGAGGCGTCGGCTGCAAAATGACTGGCCAAACTGTGTCATTTTATTGACCCCCAAGAAGAGGACTGGTAATCTAGATTGTGTATGAAATAAAAAGCAAGCTAAATGGGCTCTTTAGGCGGAGGAGGACTAGCAAATGACTTTCTGCCGATGTCGATCGACGCTAGGGTGTCGTGGGAGCCCGCTGCAGCCGATTCTGGGCGGATGGATCGCAGAGCTTCACACAGAGATGCTGCTTCTCGAAAAGAGGAACCCTCTTTATACTCTCAAATAGAGTTTCCGTTGCTTTATTTGAATCTTCGGCAGCTCACCACCACGAGACGCAGCTGCACGTGGGGCCAAGTTTCTTTGATATGCCCACTGGTCCATAGCAGCAGATCCAGGCGTATGATAATGTGGGCTGCTTGCCATTTAAAAGATTTTTATTTTTCATAGAATTGAATTCATTATGAAACCAGGCCCGACGCGTTCTACCCTTTGTAGAGCTTGGCCTTCTGTTGACATCTGCGAAGACCGCTAGTACTACGACTTGCAATGGATATCACCTCCAGCACAGGTTGCTGCTGCTGCTAAAGGAGAGCCTCTTCGAAGGCAGAAGCCAAGTGAATATGTGATTAACTGTGATTCAGTAGAAGTACATGGGCCACCGCGTCGTGGAAGCGCCCGCCTTAGCTCCACAGAGACAGTGATTAGCCTACAATGCAAGTCACTGTATCAAGGGAGATGAACAATACGGTACCAGTAAGTGCCAGCCTGTCTTCTGCTATTTTACTCCTCTCGTAGCTGTCCTCCCACTATGTATTACTGTATGTAGTGTTGTTTGTGCGCATGCTCTTTTCCCTTCCCCGGCGTTGCGCCTATTCCGTGGCTCGTCTTCCTTTTCCCTCTCGCTGCGGCACCGCCGTCAATATAGCTCAATCGGTGTGCCTTCCTATCTCTCTAACTCCTAAAGCTCGATTTATTTCCCACTTCCTCTCCGTGTGCTGTCCAGGATGAAACGCTCCTCCTTCGCAACTGTTGTCATACAATAGCTAAAGTTTCCGCAGCGCGACCCGTTGGCGCATGTTAGCTGCACGCAGCACGATGAGTA